TCAGTGTTGAACGTAGAAATTGTGTTTCAGTGATGAAAGCGGTGTCTGTACTAACTGTTATAACTTAACATGCCTTTTAACCTACATCCTCCTCCCTGTCCTAATCCTCACCTCACCCTCCTTACCCTTCCTCCCATCCCTGCCCCGCCCCGCCGTTCCGTGCCCCGCCCCGCAAAGCCCCGGCCTGACCCGATCAACCACGCCTCGGCTCCTCCCACCTCACCCGCCCACGCCTCGCCCCACCCCGCGCCCGGCCTGGCCAGCAGCGTCCGCACTTGCCTCCGTCCTTACCTTGCAGCGATTAAAGGGACTGTGTTCATTCAAATGCTAAATATTTTATTTAACAAATAACAATATCAGGAAGCTTACCTCTTCAGCATAATCAGAAAGATCATGAAAGTCAACCTGTCGTTCCTGAGGTTTATCCATTGCCAAATCAAGTTTTGTGCCGCAAAGATAAATCTTACAATCTTCCTCATGCTTCTGCACTTCTGACACCCAGAATTTTGCACGATCAGCACTGGTGGAGAAAATAGACCATTACTATATATGCATAATACTGGTACAGGTTGACAACCCTTTATCCGAAATTCCGAAAACTGAAAAGCTCTGAAAACCGATTTTTTTTTTTAACAGGGATTAGCCCACCCAGGCATAGATCACTGACCCACATCGGGGCCTGGGGGGCAAAAATGTAATACAGGTACAGGTTGTACCTCTCTAGTCTGGCATTCTGTGGTCCGGAAACTCCCGTGGTTCGGCACGATTTTAGTTTGTCCAATAGGTAGATAAGCAGCGTTTTTTTTTTTTTTACTTATCTGCATTATTATTATTATTACAGGCGTATTAAATTTTTGCCCCTCAGGCCCCAATGTGGGTCAGTGACCTATGCCCGGGTGGGCTAATCCCCCAAAATAAAAAAAATAAAAAAGCCGCGGGAAATTAAGGTTGTTTACATCCGGCAGTTTGGCTCTCTTTCTCTGCTTGTTTATACAGAGTACAACATTTAACCCTTCAATATATATGAGCAGTAAATAAGTGTTGCTTTCATATTTTTATGTAGAGTAATGACGATATGTTTTCACATGTGCACACTTACATACACGCAGTCTCACTTATTTTCTTTACCGTTAATGGTTAGCTACTTATATTGTTCAAATTATTACATTAAATAACATTACTTCAAACAAG